CTTCAGGTAGCAGTACATGCGATTGGCGATGCAGCAAACGATGATGTGCTTGGAATTTACGCTGACGCTATTTCTAAACATCCTCGTCAAGGACATCGATTGAGAGTAACGATGAACAAATCTACGTTTGTATCACTGAACTCGTGGGATTGCAGGTAGAGCATGCACAGCACCTTTCACCTGGAGCGCACCTTAAATTTGGGACGTTCTCAATATCTGCGTCGATGCAAGTAAGCAGATGAATGCATGCTGCCTCCATTACCCTGGATTTTTGCACAGCCAGAGCAACTTCTAGATGATGCTTACTACGCCGTGAAGAAACTTGGTGAGAAGCGCTCACGTGGATCTTATAACCTCCGCTCCCTCCTCGGAAACGGTAGCGTGGTTGCTCTAGGATCCGACTGGCCTGTAAGTCTGTCAAATACTTTTTCTTCGGCGTTACGTGAATGATTTCCCTCAAGGTTGTAGCAGTGAATCCACTTGGAGGGATCCGCGCAGCCGTGGAGAGAACACCTTCAGGCTGGAGTCATCCCTGGATTCCCGAGGAAAGGATTTCTGCATGGGACGCAGTGGCGGGGTAAGAGAAAACAGATGAGAAACTGAAATGCAGTCCTTGTTTCTGGATTCACAGGTACACATCCTTGGCTGCGTATGCAGCTGCATTGGAGGATCTGGTTGGGTCACTGACTCCAGGAAAGTTTGCCGACTTTGTGGTGTTGTCCGAGTCTCCCTTTGCCCAGGGCACGGGCATTTTTCCTCGAGTGGTTGCTACGTTCGTTGGTGGAAATATTGCCTTCCTTTCTTAAGGCTTTATTCCAAACTTGGTAAATTATTTCGTGGTCTTTTTAAATATTGCATATTTGCGAGAAGATGGTTGAAGAGAAAGCAGCCAGAATCATCAAGCAGCTGGTAAAGACCCTCAAAAGAGATGCATTTGAGGGGCGTGGTTCACCAGGATCTCAAGCATTCTTTCCAAGTGAAATGTGTGCAATAAAGTGGTGATCAGCAACTTTGGCATTGCCACAGATAACCCCGAGGAGATATCACAGAACTATTGCACAGTGAAGTACATGGTGGAGAACAGGGATTGGAGCTCTACATGGCAGCCATCGACGTGTGGGGGCTAGGAGCAATTTTATACAAGATGCTAAGGGAGAGGGAGGATACCAGCCGATGGAAGCATTTGATCTCGTATGACAGGGGGCGACCTCTGTTTCAGATCCACTGCCAACATCTTAGAAATGAGATCCTCCGCTGCAAACAAGCAAGGACCAGTCAGGTTCTACATCACCCATGGATTTGTCAAAAATTGCAGCAGTAAGATCGACAAGCTGTGAAGGAGTGGTGTGAAAAGGAGTGCTCCCGGCCTTGAGAACGACTTGGTCATGAAGAAAGTTGTGCGGCTTAAAAGCAAATGCCAACAGTAAGCATTACTTGCTAGTTCCTATTTCCTTTTCACCATTACTAACTTCATTTGCTTGCGTTTTTCTTTTTTGTATTCTCCGGACATCAACATCTCTTATGTCTATGGCTCGAAAACATTTTTGGTGGCTGCTGAAAACAACTGCGGAACGAAAACAAGTTGGGAAGAAAAGGCAAACGAGGGAATTGAAATGTAAAGAAAGAATTGTAAAACGCTTATTGATATATAAACAAAGATCAACGTTGAATCGAGAATGGCTGGTTGCCAACGTCCCATCTTTCACTAATCATCCAAGCAGAAATGACTATGTGTCAATGAAGGCGAATATTCTTTAGTTGCCCTAAACTATGAGCCCAGGATCTCTGCGAACGACATCCATTTGATCGCGCTCAAGCATCGTGTTGACGACAAGTCGATCGTTTCCCTCGATCTCGGGAAAGATGATGGCCACTCCAGCCCACACAATTCCCATGGTTCCAGCGAATACCGGCTTGCCGCTTCCGAAATCCGCGCCAGCCATCTCCAATCGCTGCCAGCTCGAGATCACGAGATCCGAGGGGTTGAAGGAGAGCGAAATCTCTAGCGGGCTGTGGATAGCATGTGTTGGTGCGTGATCCTGCGCTTGGCTTCTTGGATGAGATTCACAGCGCCGTCGATCGATCCTGCCAGAAGCTGCTCGACGCTGGAGGATGCGATTGCAAGAAAGACCGCATTGCCCAGAAATCCATCGGGAATTGGAGGATTGAAACGTTTTCTCCCATTCACCGCGAAGCCTAGCCTCGTTTCCTCATGCGGTTGAAGAAGCGAGAGCTCGGTTCTGGCGCGGGTGATCGCGATCCAGAGGTGAGCCGCCAGTATTTCGAATCGAGTCGCGGTGGTGTCGCTCTTTAGCAGCGACCGAATGCCGCTGCTCGTGAAGGAGAGGATTGAGCGCTCCACATTGCTGGTGTCGGGGAAGGGCGGAGGCTCAATCTGGTACTCCGCTGGAGTGGATTCCGGTGGAATTGCGTCAGGTTGCAGGAGCAGGGATCGTTCCAAGTGTGGCGGATTGACGCGATGCTCCTGGCCGGAGGAAATCAGCGCCCAGGATTTCACGAAATCGGCCGTGGCAACTCCATCGGCTGCGCTGTGGTGAGTCGCTACCTGGAGGCAAGCGCCGCCACACAGGAACCGAGTGAGCTTGATTGAGACAAGAGGAAGTTCCGTGGTTTCTTGTGTTGGGAAGGCCTCGCGCGACGCTAGGCTGTCGAGGCTGGGATTAAACTCGTGGAAGCTGCCAAGTTCTTCTTCTAGAGATTTGCTGGCGAGCGCTTCGAAGAACTCGATGCCAGAGTCGCAACACTGGATCTCGAGGGCCTGATTGGGAAGAAGCTTGTAGCGGCCGGCTAGCGGGTAGAATAGGGAGAGCGTCTTGGAGAGGGATAGCTTGAGCTGGTTGGAAGGGATGAATCGTGCGAAGAAGTAGAGGAAAGGCATGTAGACCCGAGGAGCAATCTGGTCGAGGCAGCTGAGAAGTATGGACGGTCGTGGTGGTGGAGAGGAGTTTGCAGGCTTGATGAGCTCTCGGACATTGGAAGCTACTTCCATTGGGATCTGGATTGGCTTGGATGGTGGTGGACGAAGGAT